TTCGATAATTTTTAGGAATTTTTTTTCTTATTGTTACTTTTTCTTCTTGATAAATTAATTTTTAAAATAATCTAATACAATTTTTTGCATAAAAGAATTATTATTAAAAAAATTTACGTTAAAACCAAAAAAAAAAAAAACAAATTTGACGTCAAACAAAAAAGAATTAAAAAGGAAAAAAGAAATATTTTTTTTTAAAAAATACATTTTTAACACATACGTTTAATCTCCATTTAACTATTTTCGATATTTACTTAGATCATTCGATATCTCTACGATATAGTTCTCAAAATGAGTTTCGAGAGAATGAAACATTAACCGATTTGACTATCGTACAATCGTCGACGAATTTTTAAAGTTAACTTGTTATCGAAAATTTTGAAATAGGAATAATATTAAAAAAAAAATTTAAAATTTGAATTCAGACACTCCGCACAGCGCGGAGTGCTTGAATTCAAGCACTCCGAGCAGCACGGAGTGCTTCACTAAAATTTTTTTTTTCTTTTTTTTTTCTTACGGACTTATTTATTTTCTAAATTTATTATTATTATTTTTTTAATTTGGCTATAAGTTTTGCTACAGTTATCGAAATTGAGCCCATGACCCCAATTCAGAAAGCTCTTTTCGACACGCACGTCATGGCCATCTAGCTTCGCTTGGTGGACATCGTTTTCGAGATCAAATTTCGCCGTTTTCCCTTCCAAATCCCCAATTATAGTTTGACGTCAAATTTAAAAAATGCGTATAACTCGTCATTTTTTTTTAACGCAACATCTATAAAAAAATATATTGTCTATATTTTATCGAACTCGTTTCGAGAACTATATTATGGACTCATCGAATTGATCTAAATGAATATCGAAAATAGTTAAAGTTACATCAAACGCGTTTCTTAAAAAATTAAACAAAAAAAATATATTAATAGTATAATTAAAAAAATTAAAAAAAAAACTTGTCTGTGCAAAGTCAACAACTGTGGGCGCAAGTGACCATTAAGCCCTCAATGTATTAATTAGTGTAAGGTGGGATTTTCAATGGTAAAGTGGGAAAACAATGTAAGGAAGGGAAAAAAAAAAAAGGACAAACTATTGTAGCAAAATCGGATAAATTGGATTCAAGTGTGAAAACGACTGTGATATAAATGAACAGTACCAAAAGCCTCTCTTTTAATAGAGTAAAGAAATATTGGACAAAACTATTCACATGTGCTGGAGGTCTTAAAAATACCATTTGCTTTCTCACCTAACTCGCTATTGCTCTTGCTGCTTCACAATTTCATTCAACATTCTTTCTAAATGAACTGACAAATAGTAAAATATTTTCACAAGTTTTCATTTCAACAAGGACAAATACTTTGATTCGAATCATTAGATGGCCGGTATATAATACAAAAGTATAACAAGAAAAAGAGTTCTTAACATTGAGGAACTTCCCCTGGATAAAATTTATTTACTTTAGATGGAGGTGCTTAAAAGTAAATTCTCGAGTCCATTAAATGTCAAAATAAAGCTTAGCCTGTTGATCCCAAAGGCAACGCAAAGATTAAGACTAATGACATTGTATGAAATATGTAACAAGATCACAAAGATGAAACAAGATTTAAAATAAAGAAATCAAAGAGAGTTAAGGAAAATTACAACATAACAATTTTTGCTTGAACTAAACTGAAAGAAGAAACCACTTTTATAGGTATATATCATACCATAAAGATGAAAATAATGTGGAATAAGGAAATAATATATTTCCAATAAAATCACATGAAAATAAGGAAACAATTTTTTTCCCTAATTTGGGTCATAAACTCAACAATCTCCACCTAGACCCAAATTTCGGTGCAACGAACGAAAGTCTAAAATTTCTTCATCTGGCAACTGCATCGAAATAATTGAACTTTTCTAAATAGTAACAAAAACTCTCCATCAAAAAAATCTTCCTCTGCACCGTGTCAACAAACGACACCCGAACCCTACTCCCGGATTCCCAAAATGCCACCAAGCAATTACTGTTGACCAAACAAAGTCGAATCATACCTTATAGCAGAAAACCACACCAAATGCCTAATTAGAAGGACTCTTGCTAGAACTGTTACCTTCAACGATCCCGAAAAGCACTACTGATATCATTGTACCTACGCTCTATGAGTCCAACCCTAACAATTAAACACAATGTATCCGTTGAAATTGGTGGCCAAGCGGAATCACTAATGTTCCCTTGAGCAATGTTCTGAATCGATCTTGAGCTCGTCACAAGAGGTACTTATACCAAACTGAATATACATCACGGTACTGAAATTGTTCAGATATCTCTGAAATGGTTTTATGATTTCATGCAAGATGTACAACTAAGACTTCTTCGTTCTCTTCAATACAACTTGGACTCCCCTCCGGACCTTCAAGACTCCACCACCACCAAATAATATATACCCTTTTGAATTCAGGGTACACAGTGAGATGAGATTCCTTTTCAGGTCCAGAACATGTCGAACTTGATCAATTGTTCTAACATTCCCATCCTACAATCTTAATCTGATTCGACCGATTCCATCAACACGTCAAGACTAGTCTTTCCCATCACAACTCCACTTTGCTTAACAGTCTCATATGTCTGAAAAAAAATTTCGATTGGAACACAAATGATGCGAATATGTCAAAACGAGAATCCACTCCCGTCAGGTTTAGACTCCACATCAGATACCACCACATCATATCACCACCATTCGAAAAATCCTCGGTAACATTAGTCTTGTCCAAATTGCATGATTGCCCCCTATGATTTGCAACTAAATTACCTTTAACCTTCAACTTATAGCAATCTTTATTAACATGTCTTTCCTCGTGCAGTAGAAACAGTACAGATTGCTAAAGTTCGTCCTCAATCGCCTCCTCCATCGATCACTATGAGATATCAAAGCTTCATCATCTCTTGATGTAGCTCCAACCAAATGCTTCATCTTTTCTTTTAATAATAGAGCATCAGAGATATTCTCAATGGTCAAAAGTATCACGACTGTACAAAGCTGTGTCCTTAAACACGAATAAGAGGCTGCAACGAACACAACAGGATCAAGGCCAGATCATCCTCGTTGTACTTAACATCTAATGTCTCTAAATCTGCAACTATTTCTGTGAACACAATAATGTGGTCTTCTATTGACTCTCCTTCCGCTATACGATGGGAATACACTTTTTACTTTAGAGCCAATTTGCTAGTGAGACTTTTAGTCATGCATAACTGCTCCAGTTTCAACCACAAAGTAGCGACTATTTTCTCCTTCAAGATGCCGTACAGAATATTATTGGATAAATAAAGATGAATATGCGATAAAGCCTTCCGATCCCTCGGTTGTTTCTCCTTCATTATCCAATTAACTGGCATCTTTTCAAAATCCAACAACGCATCGTCCAAATCCAACTACGCCAAAAATAATCCTCATCTTTACTTGCCATGAAGAAAACCTTATATTACGATCTAACAGCGGATATCATATTTGAATGTAGCCATTTCTAAAAAATCACAATCAATTCACGAAGAACCTGCAGCCTATCTCTGATACCACTTTCTAATCCCAAAGGCGATGCAAGGATTAAGACTAATGATGTTGTATGAAATATGTAACAATATAAAGAGAAAACAATGTTTTATTATAACAATATAAAGATAAAATTACAACACAACAATTTTTGCTTGAACTAAATTGAAAGAAGATATCACTATTTATAAGTACATACCATATCATAAAGATAGAAATAATGTGAAATAAGGAAATAATATATTTCCAATAAAATCACATGAAAATAAGGAAACAATTTTTTCCACGTGAAAATAAGAAAACAATTTTTTTCCTTAATTTGGGTCATAAACCCAACATAGCCTTTGTAGTTAGGATTCATTACTTTTAGCACTTGCTATCTAGAACCACACCTCCGGCCCATCGTCACGAGCACCATACACAAAATATTTCATTTGATAATCGCCGACTCTAGAATACTACTTGATAACAAAAAAAAAAAAAAAAAGAATAATCAGAAACCGTTTTATACTGTGTAATTCACTTGACACCCCGTCACTTTGTCGAGCCTGGACTAGAGGTTCATGAAACATATAAGCCTTCAAGGGGTGGCAACGTTTTCCTTGGAAAGTGGAGCAATTTCTTCTCCTTCAATTCCAGGTTCACTGTTAACGGCACCTAAGCTCAGCAGCATCAGTTCCCAGTTCTTCGCAGGGCCCTATACGAAGACAATGAGTTAGGAAACATATTTATTCCACACTTGTCCCATATACAGAAGCTTCGATAAATGTCTACCTTCCAGGAAAGATCCTGTGACATGCAATTTTTGATCATTTCTCTGAAAGCAAGTGTACCATAGACTGCAAGAGCTCTGCCGACAGCCGCAACTATCTTAAGCACATCAGCAGGGTCGACTTTGGAGCACTGATCATACAAAGAGGAGTCATTTAGTATCCTATAGTGAAAGTAGTTCATGTGTTCTAACAAATTATGAATGGAGAGAAAATGTTGAGTTACATACTTCAACATTGAAATCTCCCATTTGGATCCCAGTAAATCCTTCTTTCACAGTGTCAACAAGACCACCAGTTGAAGCACAGATGGGTATCTGATTCACACAGTTTTAATATTAAAAACAGATCCAGATTGAACAAATAAAATCACAAATAAACATTTGTGAAGTGGAAAAATCTAATGTCCTTACAGTTCCATATCGCATAGCGTGCAACTGGATGAGACCACAAGGTTCAAATCTACTTGGGATTAACATGAAATCAGCACCAGCAATGATCATGTGAGCCAAGGGAACATTGAATTTTGCCACTCCTCTAGCTTTATCAGGATACAACACCTCGAGCTGTTTAATCTGCTGCTCGAATCTTTTCTTGCCAGTTCCCTGATAGAATAGAACTTGTCAATTTAGTTCAATCTCTGTTTATGTCAAAACAGACACCCAGACATTGAAGCTTAAGGATTTCATTTACAACTTACAAGTATTATTATCTGCACATTCATTCCAATAAACTTAGGGATGGCAGCAGTGAGAATATCAGAGCCTTTTTGCTCTTCGAGTCTTCCAATAAATCCAATCACAGGAATGTTCTTGTCCACTGGCAATCCAACTGCTGCTTGAAGAGCTTCCTTCAACAAAGACTTCGCATTCATAACCTGTACGCCATACATGTAAATGCTTTTCAGGACAGAGGACTCTAAATTGTCACCGAAAGGTTATTAAAAATGTGCAAAAATCTCTCGTCTCTTAGCCTGGATGGTAAGTACTAAGAAGTAGAAAGTTCTTACAGTTGTGATATCGTAGTGGACATCAATGTATTTATCAGTTGAAGGATTCCACTCTTGGGTATCCATGCCATTTATGATGCCAGTTATGCCAGTCCTACGAATGATGTTGTCCAATTCTACACCCTTTTCAACTCCAGAAACAAGTTCCTGGGCATAGTAAGGGCTCACCGTAAAAACCCGGTCTGATTCTAAAATTCCAGCCTTCATCCAGTTAATTTTCCTTCCCTTCACCGGCTTCTCATACCTGCAACCAATAATGACATGCATGCCTGTTAAACAATTTGACCAGTAATCAACAAATTCTTCAGTTTTGTACCAATTCTATAGGTCATGGCTCATACCCATCAATGAACTCGAAGGAATTTTTGTAGCTGTCGGGCAGACCGAGAAGAGAAAAGTCCGAAAACGCAAACCTTCCCTGGTATGCAATGTTGTGGATGCAGAAAGCAACCTGGAACCATTTCAGTCCAACGTCAGAATGGAAACACCAGCTTAATTCTGTAACATTTTCTTGTGATGTGTAGTCGAGCAAATATAATATGCATCTTACCTTGGCATTCATGTAGATTCCTCTAGATTGGTACATGGTCTTTAAGTAGCATGGAAGTAGAGCTGTGTGCCAATCATTGGCAATGAAGATAACATCTTCCCCTGGGGACAAGAAATATCAAATACAGGTACCAATCTCATTGTTTTCACATGTTACAAGCAGATTTTTTTTTATTTTTTTATTTATTATTATTATTATTTATTTATTTATTTATTATTATTATTTTTTTTCTAAATATGCCTTTTCAAATACCATATGGCCCTGAGAAATATTTGCTGCTGGTTAAATTCAGAACTCTTGGTGCCATCAAAGCTGCCTGAAAGCGAAAACTATAAAAGTGATCAGGACCCAGAACCCGTGATATCCAATTCAAATGCATAAGCAAACATAGGAAGGAATAATATATGGGGACCGAGATGAATATTTTTATGCCGAATATGAAGAAAATGGAAACAAAAAACCTAGACTTATTGGCTTGGTGGTGAAAAGAAATGTACATGAACCCAGGTTGGCTATATTTACTTGGTGTGCCAACGGAAAATTGTTCGAACAGGCAGGATCTAGATTTACAGCAAATTGTCTTTCTCCACATTCCTTTTCCATATCTGTACAAAAACCTAGAAAGCCCCTTAACGGTCATATGATTTTTTTTTTCACAAATTTGGAACGAGAGATGCCACAACAAGATTCCAGTTAGCATTCTTAAAACCTGCAGTGTTCCTAACAGATACAAGTGGTTGAAAATTTTTCATGGCATTAAACTACGGAAAAACTCACCTGACATAACAAGCTGAAGCGTTGTTGGTTGTCCTTGTAATCTGTTCCAGCATTAGGACCATAAATCTTTGATCCAGTTTTTCCCCAAACCTGTGGAAGTACAAAGATAAAAAGAAAGATTCAAGTCAAAGTTGTCATTACATGATACAATTTGGCTATCCGCTAGAACACTATAAATTCACAGCATAAACACCTTCTCCAGGAACATTGGATGATCAACAAAAACACGGTCGACTCCACGTTTATAGCAGTGGAAAAGGCGAACAATCTCAATTCTGCCTCCTACTTCTATCTGCGGTAAAATGTTTTAATTTGATTATACCTCTAGAATCTAGAAAAAGGTAATTTACAAATTGCAAGACATTTTCCCAGTGTACCTCAACAAGCACACCAGTGTCCCAAGCATCTTTGTATTGGTCATAACGCAGTGACACAGTCATCACCCGGTGCCCATTGGCCTATGGAAATAAAAGCAGTGATCATGTTAGCTAGACAAATTCATCCTACAAGCTAGCTATTTGTCCAATTCCTTCATAAATAATTTTTTTTTTTTTTAAATGACTAATTCATTTGTTTTTGCAAGAAGTGATAATGATGCTTACTGCCATGGCTGGTGGCAACCCTCCAAGAACGTCACCTAGCCCACCAGTTTTGCTCCATGGACCAACCTCAGAGGCTACAAAGACCAAGTTCATCCCTGTACCACATATAATGGTTCCAGACGGTCCGTCAGCTTTGGCTTTTTTTACCATGCTCTTGGATTGCTTTGCAGTTACCTTTGCATTGGTTTTCAATTGGAGCGTATCATCCGTGTTCATCGATCTTAACCCATTGTGAGTCACAATTTGGTTTCTCAGGCTTACCTGTGCCAAGTTTGGTTTACTCTCAACTGAAGTTGCTCCACCGTGGACATGTGACACAAAGTGTGAAGCGGTTACAGTTGCCATAGTTGACACCTCACTCTAAATCCAAGGAGAGAAAAACAGCAGTTAGTGCAAATGCAATAGAAACTAAACTGAAGTTTCTACTTCCGAGACATCCGCATTTAGCTCAAAGACTAAACTTCAAATTCCACAGAGTCAAATCCAGTAGCTAAACTTGGAATTTAAAAAAGAGAAGGGGATTGTGCTATATGTACATAACAATTTAGATAATGGTTTACCATAAAAATCTCATCAATCAAATAACTTCCACACTTACATTTTGACACATCATCATTATATAAAACATTATGTACAAGAAGCATTTTCCCCAAAAAAAAAGGCATGCCTTGCCTTAACGTTAGTTTTTAATTCCTCTACACCAAAGCTTTATTATCAAAACTCAGATTTTATTTAACTTAGTGTTAGAAATAATTTAAGAACCACAAGAAGTTGGTTTTACTGAGCAGAAAAGGTACTATCAAAACAAAAGGTGTTTCTTACTAACAGCAATACTTATTAGAGTTGGAATCACAAGTTTATTCTCTTTTATATAGAAAAGTGAACAAAAGGGAAAAATCAAAAATAAATATAAACTTACCCAGACCAACCAGATCAGAGCTCATAAAAAAAATTAAATGACCTAAACTCTGTGCAATTATATTATTGAACCACGAAAACCATGTAGAACTGATTCAATAGCTAAATTATCACCGGAAAGGAGAAGGAAGAAAAACAAAAATAATAATCAACGTACCGATAAGTGATAACCTACTACAATAGCTCAATTATGAGTCCATTAAAAGCTTAGACTCAGAAAATCGCATAAATTTTCTGAATACAGTTAAGTAAAGCGAGAAAAATTAGCAACAGATTCTATTTTGAATAATCTACCGAAAATCAGTTAGTAAACAGAATTCTTACCAGGTCACAGCAAACTCAGAGAGAGCTGTACGTGCAAATGGCAATGGTTTGCAGGTTTGGTGCTGTGAATTGAAATGCAGTGAAGCGTCCTCATTTGTAGTGCGTGGAAGCGGATCCTACAATGACAAGTGGCATCGGAAGATGGGCTTAATCACCTCAAAAATTGTTTCGCGGCAATAATCACATGAAATGAAATGCATCACTGAGAATACACTCGAAATTTGAGGCAGAAATTTGAGGCATTTGAATGAAGGGGTTAAAGTTTTTTTTCCGCAATAAAGCTATTAGTATGGGAAAAATTTAACAGAACTTTTACGGACACTAACGTGACAAAATGTAAGTGGATTGCTTATCTTCTTCTTTTTTCTTGTAGCATGATTCTTTTTTTCGAGTGAATCAACGTCGACACATTAAGTCGTTGGTTAGAAATTTATACGGGTCAGGCATGGGCCCTACTTAGGTAAAAGCCTAGAGCTTAAAAACTAAAAGGTTGAACCCCAGTTTTAAGGGTCCCTCGTCACCTCGTCCCTAGAGTATCGTGAGTGAGGTTAATAGCGAGATGTGTCCCAACAAGATAGGGAACAAGAGCTGCATGTACACTGGTGCTCATAAAGAGTTCCAATTCATGTTTCAAGAATCGAACCCTCACACTGCGACTATCAACAAGAACGAGTATACCTCACTCTTGTCCTTTACACCACTGTGATATGTTTATGGAACTTAGTACCATGTTTATGTATGAAATAACTTATTCACCAATTATTTATCTAAATTTTAACGTCCACGAGTTTAATTCTCGGCACTCATTGTCCCACTTGCGTGTATAATCGTCCACTTGTAAACTAATGGTCATAGAAATATCCTTAATATTTATTTAAAGGAAAATAAATTTACGATCAACATCTTCTGAAACCCTTGATAAATGATGTACATGAAAATAAAAGGCGAATATTTTGAGAACCCTTTATTTAAATTTACGATTTCATATTGTCATAGAAAAATATCACAAGTTGACATCAATCCCCTTGTAGTTTGAATTTTATTTTGTAGATGTGGGGGTGGAAATGGATGTGGACCCACACTGGCAGCTGCTCTCATGCTTGCAAGCTACAGGATTGCTGTAATTTGTTATTTTATGAAATTGTGACACAAATGGGTTTGTTTATAGCAGTCGGTTGAGGACAATCAACAAAACTAGATGGATTAATAAGCAAAAAGTATTTTAAACCACAATCATGTTACAAATTCAGATAGGATATATGTTAACACGTGATTGGACAATTTAAAAAATTAAAATAAAAATATCCAATCATTTTATGACTCATTGGTTTGACTCTTCACTCCATGTGTTTCAATTTGGCTGAGTGGCTTTATTCTTTAAACCATGTACCATTAGTTTAGAGCGACGATTGTCGAGCACAACTTTTTTTATCTTTTCAAGAAGAAATACTACCTCAATCCAATAAAGGTAAGTTCAATTTCTTTATTTGTAAGTCTCAAATTATAGGTCACTTTTTAATATCTTACTATTTAATGAATCTTTTTATTAACAAATAAACTAAGTCTATTTAAATCATTATTTTTATGGAGGAGTATATTAGGAATGTGTAAGAAAAAAATTTATATATTTCACTATATTAATTATATTCTCTTAATTTGTATGAAAATAGAAATAAACATATTTTTATGAGACAGAGGTAGTATGCCAAAAGTATTTCCTAGCCTTTGAAGCCCTTCCATGCAGCATTATCAAACCCAAATCGGACCGACAAGTTTTATTCAAAAATTCTCGAATCGCTGATTGGTCCAATCCAGGTGACTGAAATGATAACATATGCAAGTTACCCATTAACAACTAGTCAACCCAATCTTAAATGAACAGATAGACTAGAATTTTTCATAAAGACAAGGGAAACCCCTTTTTTCACATTCGGTGTGAAATTAAAAAGTGAAAACCCTCCATTCTTCTCTAGCCATATTCGTCTGTCTGCAATCCTCCCAACTTGTTTGAGCTCTTTGTTTCCCATAATGCATCTTGTAATAATTATTTTGTTGAAGAATATGTGTGGAATCGGATCTAGGACACTACACAGTACTTCAACTTTTAAAATTATCAAGTTCACGTTCCAGACAATTTACTAATTTGACTTTACATGCGAAATTGACTAATTAAAGCAACAAGTCACTTTTAATTAGTTTTCTAGATGATTATACATACAAGTCAATTTTTCCTACGTTTGAATACCGCAATAATAATACAGAAAGCAGTAAAAACACAAGATTTGTTGACGGAGAAACCTAACCTGGGAAAAATTTCATGACCAAGCCAGTTACCTCCACTATAGACAATTAGGGATACAGTGCGATTCCAGCCTAGCAATTTCCACTAGTTCGAGCTATTGTAATTCCAGTAATCCCCAAGATCTGTTGTCAATCTTCCAATCTCATGATCTACTACCGTAAATGCTGTATAGCCACTCCACTAGACTTCCGATCTACCTCCTGCAGCCTCTAAGATCTGCTATCTTCTTCCAGTCTCCTGATCTTATACCAATTGTCTCTTCCAAATGGAATTTCAAGAACTTCATGTTCTTGTGTTTTTCCTGCGCTTGAAATCCACCTCTCTCGATCCCCAATGAAATAATCCTTTCCTCAAAGAATTAAGGAAGCCAGGTGTTTTGGATTCTCCAAACTTTAATGTTTTTTCAAAACTTGGTTGCCGGATCACAAGATCAATATGAATGGATCAATGTTTGAAGCACTTCTTAGATCTTTCAAAATATGTTGTGAAGATGAAGCACAATGTAGCAACCTTTAGAATTTCTCCATGACTTGTATATTTACAGTTGGGGGTGAATAGGTGTCATGGGCTATGTAAAATTCTTCAAAATCGCAACATAGGGTGTAGCCATGTAACATTGTCGCTCGAACAACAACTCGACGAAAAGCGATCGACAGCTTTTTGCTCGAATGACGCAGGGACGACAAGCGAGCGATGAGCTTGCTGTTTTTAACGCTCGAGCAACAACTTGACAAGTAACTAGCAAAAATCCAACGAGTTTTCTACGTTGTTCTAAACTCAAACCCTACCCTAAACCATCTATACAAATTGCAACCCAAGTACTTGACTATTTACACATGATGAATGAAGTCATTTTTGTTAATAGAATTGCCAATTACAATATTGGACCTAACAATCTCCCATTTTGTCATTCTGTGATAAAACTATACAAATTAAGTCTGGACTTGAAAACAAATAAACTAGTCTACCTAGTATACCCAATCACTGAATCTCGCATTCCTTGTTAAACACGTTCCCTGAAGTCCAAAACTCACATACCCAATGTAAAAGCATGTGATACGAGAAATGTAACAAATAAAGCACTTAATCACAAATCAATATGCTAGTTTGAGACGTGACATTAATGTCAATCAAAACACCAACCGAAAAACATCACTAAACATCAAAACTCAAGCAACAATGGACATGATATAAAATGCAATGCAATGCTCCCTCTACTGCAAACTAATAAATTTTATGTAGTAATACTAAGTATTTATGTCTCCCCAATTACCCCTAGACATAAAATGCAAAAATATCAAATGCAATGCAAACACTTTCTTCCTATGTATATGCTCTTTATTCTCTCTCCCCCTATGTATATGTTCGTTATTCTCTCTTCCCAGTCCTTATTTCTTTCCCTCTTTTTGTCACAAATGCTGAAGGGAATGATATCAAATTCAATTAGAGCAACAACATATAACCACTTAAAAATGCAATAGATAGCATGCAGAAGTATAATTAACAAGTAGTAAACCTCCCCACGTACTGATTTTAAGTCAGAATGGAGTAAATAATATAAGTGACACGTGTGTATAAAGTGTCATTAATCCAATACAAGCAAAACTCCAAACTTTAATTTTGTGAAAAAGGACATGCTAATCATTGTCAATAAATATATTCTCCTACTTATGCATTAGTACCTATACTTATTATTTTCATTTTTCTCCCCCTAACTTTGAGCATTAATATTTTTCAAATTTTCACATTTTTTTAGCTCATTATATTTTTTTCACATTTTTCAAACTCATTCATTTTTCATCTTAAATGTAGGTTCTTCTCTATTAGGCAACTAACGTGACCTTTGTAGTTAGTTTTAAGCCAATTAACCTAAGTCAGTTGATAATAGGCACCGGGTTTTAAGAAACTCCGCAGGCTTAATTATTCGAGTCAAATAGGCCCTGAAGAAAAACATTAAGATATTGAGCTTTTATATGATGCGGGAATATTTTTGTGCTTAGATCTAAGAAATTCGATCAATTCATGTTCAAAGTCACCCTATTATCATGTGACAACCATCCCAAATCTCACACACGTAGTAGAGACCCACTAACAGTTTCATAGTGTGTGCCGTACAGATGGTACATGAAGACACTTATACTAAGTACTCCACAATAACCTAAGCAAGCAACGAAATTTATGCTACTTTTTAACAGTTTTACCTATACATGATTACAACTTGCAAGTTCAAGAATTATATATATCATGCTGTAGTGAAAGTTTCCATTCTCCCAAATTTTTGTATTTTTTTTTCTTTTTCAAAAATGAATGTACCATACACAAAGAAAAAAGAAAAAAAGTTCCAAGCACACAAAATAAAGCAAAATATGTATGCACCAATGCAAATCAATGAAAATGCACATATATGAAACCAAAAACAAATTAAAAGAAACATACAAATCCAGGGAATGCATTCATAAATTATATGACGGTTAAGAACAAGCATGCATCAAAGATACCTAATCAATTAAGTATATGAGTGCTCTTTCCCTTACGATGATCGTGATTTACTTCAATATTTTGCATATCGCTCTTCTTCACCCATATCTGTCTAATGGGAGAGCAGTTCCCAGACAGTTGTGTTACCAATTTGGTCAAACAATTCACCTGATCAATAAGGAATCTAATATGACCAACAGACTTTTTATTTCTATTGAAGTTCATATTTCTATTTTTGTTCAGGTATTGATGACATCTAGAGCGTATATGACCTAACTCTCCATAGCGATAGCATGTATGGATAAACCTAAGACCAATGTTATGTGAACGCTAACGTCTATTCCTAGGTTGGCGGGTCTTACACTGTCTCATAGACCTCTATCCTACAAATCCATTATCTTTAGGTTCAGAGTTAGGCACATGTTTAGATTAGTCTGTGGGTGGGACAAATATGGTTTTAGACGTGCTAGCAACATCATGATCTTTTCTCTTGTATCCTAGACCTCCCTTATTTTCAGCCGGCTTGTCCATTCTTAGAATGTTATCTAACTTTGACGAACCACTGGTGAAGGCAAGCAGTTGAGACTTAGAATGCTCCAAATCACTCACGAGGTTCATAACCTGGATTTCTAAAGTTTCATTCTTGGTGATCAGCTCACTGACTTTTCTAGAAGACCTCTCAAGCTCACGGGTGAGATTAGTAACCTAAAACTCTAAAGAAGATTCCTTAATGTACGGGACTAACTTCTTTTTCTCCACTTGAAGCTCCTTAACCGTCGTACTTAAGGCTTTGTTCTTATTGAGAATCTTAAAACTCTCCCGATACATTTTCTCATATGCCTCTTGGATATCTTCCTCGCTTTCAGATTCTCCTTCAGTTTTCCCACCACTATCTAAGTCTTTATCTCTCTCACTCTTTTGGTCAGATCCACTCTTAACCCTAGCAACGAAGGCTACATATTTTTCACTTTCCTTACAAGTGGATTTTTCAATCTGATTATCTGAGCTAGATTCATCATCAGTGAGAGTAGTATTGCCTTTTCCACAACTCTCCTAGTACTAGTGCATTCATTCCTCACATGACCGAAACCTTGACAGTTATGACATCTTATTGGTTTCGATCTTCCCCTAAATTCACTCGGGCCACCTCTTTGTCTTTCTTGAGGCTTCTTCTTATTCTTAAATATTTTTTGGAATTTCTTAGTTAGGTCGGCCAACTCCTCATCATTGGGTGAATCTGAATCAGAAGATTCGGTCCGGTTATTCCTCACTAATTTCAAGGCCAAAAGCTTCTCTTTAACGAGTTTATCTAAGGTCAGCCGTAGGTCTGGAGGGATCCAATTAACTTTTCCACCTTAATAGTATCTATGTCCTTACTTTCCTCAATCGCCGTGACTTAGGCCTAAAACGCTCGGGTTAGACTCTAAGAATTTTTCTCACTATCTTAGGCTTGAGAATTTTTTCTCCTAGGTTGAAGGTAGAATTTACTCTGTCATTTATGCTCGCGTAGAAGACATTAAAAGTCTTATCATCTCTCATCCTGCTTTATTCAAACCTAGTGGTCAGCATTTGCAACTTCGAATTCTTAACCGTTTGAGTTTCATCATGTGTAGTTTCTAAGATATCCCAAATTTTTTTCGCAACCTCACACATAGACACTCTCCTAAACTTTTCTAGGGAAACGATCATAAATAGGGCATGTAAGGCTTTGCTATTCCAATCACATCTATTTGTTCAGCCTTAGACCAGTTTTCTATGTGGTGGGAGTGACAAGATTATTAACCATAGTACTAGGAGCAGACCAACCGTTAACTACACTCAACCAAATTCTCTCATTCGTAGATTTCAAAAATGCCCTAATCCTAACTTTCCAATATGAGTAATTGCTACTGTCAAAATAGGGCAAGACAGTCAACAAGGTACTCATCTAGACAATGTAAGGTCACGACATGCAATTCAGCTCTAATACCACTTGTGAAATCGGGTTCGGGAGCAACGCACTACTTCAACTTTAAAATCACCAAGTTTAAGTTCCAGACAATTTATTAGTTTGACCTTATGTACATAATTGACTAATTAAAGCCACAAGTCAATTTTAATTAATTTTCTAGATGATTATACATACAAGTCAAATTTCCCTAAGTTTGAATACCGTATATGGAAAGCTGTAAAAACACAAGATTTGTTGACGTAGAAACCTAATGTGTGAAAAACTTTGGGACAAAGTCAGTTACCTCCACTATAAACAATTATGGATACGATGCGATTTCAATCTAGCAACTTCCACTAGTTCTAACTGTTGTAATTCTTGTAATCTCTAAGATTTGCTGTCAATCTTCCAATCTCATGATCTATTGCCGTAGATATTGTCTAGCCACTCCATTAGACTTCCCGATCTACCTTCTACAGCCTCTAAGATCCGCTATCTTTTTCTAACCTCCTGATCTTATGCCAATTGTCTTTTCCAAATGAAATTTCAAGAACCTATTGTTCTTATGCTTTTCCTACGCTTAAAGTCCACCTCTCTCAATTCTCAATGAAAAAGTTCCTTCCTCAAAGAATTAAGGAAGCCGGGTGTTTTGGATTCTCCAACCTTTGATGTTTTTCCAAAACTCGGTTGCCGGATTATAAGATCAATATGAATGGATCAATGTTTGAAGCACTCCTTGGATCTCTCAAAATATGTTGTGAAAATGTTATGAAGATGAAGCACAATGTAGCAACCTTTAGAATTTCGTCCATGACTTGTATATTTATTTTTGGGGGCTAATAGCAATAGGTGTCACAGACCGTGTAAAATAGTCCAAAATCGCGACCTAGGGTTTGGCCACGTAACACTGTCATTCAAGCGACAGCTTGATGAAAAGTGAGCGACGGCTTTTCGCTCAAGAGACGCAGGGGCGACAAGTGAGCGACGAGCTTACTGTTTTTAACACTCGAGCAACAACTTAGCAAGCAGCTAGCGAAAATTCGACGAGTCTTCTACCTTGTTCCAAACTCAAACCCTAGACTAAGCCATCTATACAAATTGCAACCCAAATCCTTGACTTTTTACACATGATCAATTAAATTTTTTTTGTTCACAGAATTATCAATTACAAAATTGGATCTAACAATATGGGATCAAAAAAATTTGAATTTACGGATAATATTATTTTATTATTATCACTGCATTTTGTACATAAAAGAAAAGGAAGATAAAAAAAAATAATAGATTTTAAGTTTTCTGAATGGTACCCACCTCTTTGACGGATTTGATTATAACATATATTATGTCGTGGTATTCTAGTTAGGGAATTATGGTAAGCTCATGGTAGGTAATTTTCATTTTTGCTGGTGTTATATTTTAGTTAGGCATATGATGGCATTAAAGGAACATTCTGAAAAACAAAGGTTTGTGAATTATTATAGTCTACATGGCTTCTAAATAAAAAGTTTGAATTTTCATATAAGTTTTATGTTATTTGAGATGAATTTAGAGGATTCAATATACATAACAAATAGCAAAAATGGTGCCAGGAGTATAAAGGCTGTTCGAACCCTAGTCAACTTGAGCACATCCTGCGATTTACCTCCCTAAGCTGCTGAGGGGCCGGAAGTTCAGGGACGAGGATATAATCTGGCGTAAGCTGGGACACCTCGTTAAAAAAAAAAAAAAAAAAAAAAAAAAAAAAAAAAAAAAAAAAAAAAAAAAAAAAAAAAAAAAAAAAAAAAAAAAAAAAAAAAAAAAAAAAAAAAAAAAAAAAAAAAAATTATAGTCTGGCGCAAGTTGGGACCCCTCGTTAAAAAAAAAAAAAAAAATCAAATAGCAAAAATGGTGTTCGAACATCCACAGTATGTCATAAATTAACATGATGTGGGGGTGAAAAGAGAGGCTTATGTTCATGTCTTTGTGTTGTGCTATTTGTTTCATTAGTAACGAGGGTAAAGTAAAGTATCTTTTGACCATGCGTGAATAACTTTTAAACGTTGATTTTATTTCTACAAAGCATACTCTTACGGCATATAAAGTTATCTTGGTGAACTTGGCACATAAAGTAGTTTTTGACCGATGGTTGTTTGATTGTTCTAAATCCATGTTTCACTGTATATGCTCTAGAATTTGTTGGATTTTGACTTATCTTTAGTCACCAAAATAACATAAAGTTATTTTATTTAGTGGAAGAAAATCACAAAATATTATTATTCAATAAAATAATTAATAATATATTTGACATGAATTGACCCACCGATCGAATCATTGGGCGACCATATTGTTGAGATCAATATCCATGTCGGGTCGACAACCATACTTATTTGACAGCAAACAATTGTATTTTTTATTTTTTACATAATTACTTTTTTTAATTTCCAACTGAATTTATCGTTCAATAACATGTAATTGCCATTTAAACTGGTATGAAGCACGAGTTGGAATGAACAGCTTTACCCTGTGAAAGTTACATAATCAAACTAAAATATCCCAAGGAGACACATTCATAGTCCCAACTTTCAACTAGCTTGAAAAATTTTCATGTGGTACCAATTAGTAACAATTTTTAATGAGAAAAAAAAAATAATAAAATTACAAACTAGAGCTTGCTCAATTTTCTATTATCCCAGCCAACGAAACCACCTAAAATCAACGACATTTCACACACAAACGCAAGATAAAAATAGCCTTAATAATGTAAATTGCTATTCTTTCCAATCTTACAAACCATTCGCGGCTCACAATCACAATTAGTTACGGTCACCTGTGGGCCGTGACCAGTGTCTCTATGAACCTCAGCCCATCGAACCTCGGCGCAAATTTATTCTTCTCCGATGATGCGATAAGTGAATTTGTCGGAGTAGCCTTCAAAGAAGAAAATGATAGCGCAAATTTAATAAAAAGGCTTTAAACAAAATCAAATTTAATAATTGATTCTAGCTGGTCAAATATAAATGAACGAAACTGTAAAAGGATGAATAAATTTATATTGCCTAACAAAACGAAGATATTTCTGAGAGAAAAACCGAAGATAAACATAGGACTGTTAGAAATTGTACAATGTCACAAGTCTCGAAGAAATAATAAATTAAAGAAATCGTAATGTCGTGTAGATCGTGAAAATTTTGGTTAATGCAAACACATGACAGACAAAGAATTACCTGACGGGAGGAAGAATTGAATGTTACATCACGACCACCGGCGGCACGTGAGGAGAGCGCAGCGGTGGAAGCGGCGACCACCGATGCGACGAGAGTACAAGAGCCTTTCATCTAGACGACGTTGAATGATGCGAAGCGAGATCTATGTGAATGCAGTGGACGAAAACGGACGACGTGCCTTCGCCGGATCTCGACCCGCCTCCGTTTCAGTTGCCCTCCTGTCTATCTCCAAAATGTTTTTAACTTCTTCGTTATGATTCGGGTTTCTTTTCCGGGTTTTATATCATGAAATTATCGAGCGTTGGACCGAAAAATTATTACACGCTTCCCATATTTAACCCGATTTAATTTTAGCTATAGTTCCGTGGATAGATTACAAAATAGGCCACGTAGATCCTACGTTATTGCTTCCGCTAATAATGTGACACGTTTCAAAGGACCATTTTGCTCTAGGTGGTGGAAAATGATGCCTCGATTTACAGGGTGTTTGGAGAATATTCCTAATCATAATGAATATTACCGACAGTTATATTATGTGATAGTCATATATCAAATAACAAATCGTTACGTATATGTCACATAGAATAACTATCGATAATTCTCAATATGAATAGTATTATTCGTGTTTGGACGGAATAAATCGAAAAGAAAATATCATAAAAATTATAAGTCCCTTTTTTTGTTTTGTTAAGTCAAAGTCAACCATTCATTTTAGACATATATTTTATAGAATTCGCAACATTTTAACCAAACATTTTATATATGTTTATCAAAATTTACTAAAACTTTGATTTTAATTTCAACCAAACAGAGGCTAATATTTTTATATAATTAAAATATGTTGTAAACTTTATGAGATAATTATTAACTATTTAATCTTATTAAAATATTTAGATTATTATCTCTGTTGTTCTTCTCTACAGTTTTATACTCCGTCTTATAAATATATTTTTAATAATTTAGATGATAAAGCCATAAAGGTGTAGATATTTTGAAAGGAAAAAAAAAAAAATCACAAAAAGGATTCTGGTGCAAATTTTTTCGAATCAATAGTTGAGTCAACGTAGCGACTTTTTGGTATGGCTCATCGAATCCCCTTGAGTACCAATTGCAGGTTGGGGTGCCAGTACCTCTAAGGGCATGGTTGTTAATTTTTTTCATCGATTTTGACCGATTTTGTGTTTTTTGGTGCCGATTTTGTATAGATTAAAAATCACCCAAATCGATGTATCGTAATTTTAACCGGTTCTCTCAACCTATCAAATCATGATTTTTTTTTTTTATTGTTTCTCGTATTTTCTTCTAATTTTATTATTTATAAAATAATTATTTTTATCCAATATATTTATATTCAAAACTAATTTAACCAATATTTTTATATTCAAAACTAACTATTAAATAAAAATATACAAACTATAAATTTATTTATAAGCAAAAATATTATTTATTTTAGCTTTGTGTAAAAAATTGTTTATAAAATAAAATATTATTAATAGGACAAAAATTTACTTATAAAATATAAAAAATTACTTATAAGTAAAAATTCACTTTTATGTAAAAATTATATAAAATACAAAATTAACTTATAATTGTAAAGTTTACTTATAAGTAAAAATACTAATTTAAAATATTAAGTAAATATTTAACTTTATTTAACTTTTTAAGTTAAATATTAACTTATATGTAAAAAAAAGTTATGTATAAGTAAAGTATCACTTATAAGTAAAATAAAAATAAAAATTGCATACAATAAAACTACAAACTGAAAATTTTATTGAGGGACTTATATGTAATTGTATTCTTTTAGAAAACTTTTAGAACCATTTGATAATAATCTCCTAAGCATGGGTTGGACTGTTTTAAAAATCACTACTAAAAATACTTAAAACGATCCACTTATGAACACTCAAAATCAGCACTTTAAAAAATAATAATAAAAACAGCTCATCACTAGTACCCAAAACTCCCAAGCAGCCTTAAACGGTGCTGTCGAAGAGGTTGGAGGGTCCCTAAGAAGGAGGAACCAAAGCACGTGAATTTGTATTCACTATGATTTTTGGTAGCATTTTTCATAGACGAAGCTAATGATGCTACCAAATATCGCAATTATGAAAATTTAAGCCTATTGACAAAGCTTGAGTATGAACAGAACTTTCTGTACGGATAATATTCGCCAACATTGAAAAGGATGCCCTGCGTTATGTGTACAAATTTGACAAGTGAGGTGCTTCGTCACCAACCAAAGACAAGATCTCAAATAGATAACAAGCCCTTGGCTCTTCACCAATGAGGAATTGATCTCATCACACCCATGCCAAAATGGAGAGGCAAGTGGATGGAGGCTAAAGCACTTACCAAATTTGCAGAACCAATACTTCCAAGTTCATATGGAAGAATATCATTTTTTGGTTCGATATTCCCTACTCATTAGTCCCTGAAAATGAATTACAATTCAATAACAAAAAGGTCACAAAGCTTTGCGAAAAGCTAGGAATAAATAAACGCTTCTCCGTCACACATCATCTTCGAGCTAACAGTCAGGTCAAAACTGTTAACAAGACCATCAAGTACGCCCTTAAAAGAAAGTTCAATATTTCTAAGGATGCTTGGGTCGATGAGCTCCATCGTGTACTATGAAAAATTCAAACAACAAACTCTCCATGGCAAATATGCTGAATTAATAAGCCTGGTAGAAGTGGAACTCCCCTCACCTCCTCGTATTCACTTCAACGAGATCACAAGTGACGAGTTGAGAAATGAGGAAGTCAATTGTTTTCGAAGAAAGGAAAGACGAGTCTCAAGTCAAGCTCACTTCATACCAACGAAATATAACTGGATATTGCAATGCTAAAGTCTCCACTGGAATTGTTGAGTTATCATGGTAGGATAGTGTTATTACTATAATGGCTGAGTTCTTCTATATTAGGGAACTTTGGAGAGAGAGAGAGACCATTAAGAAGTCGAAATTGTTTAAAGATGTCAGGGGCACAAGCTCGACATCGGGAATGTGCCTTCCTTGTGATGTGATCATCGTGGGCCTTGATGATGCTCCAAGGAAGGGAGGCACCTCGGGGGAGAATAGGCTCGAGGGAAATTCGAAATTGGAGAGATCACAACTGCACTTAAATTGTACTCATTACTTTCTACTAAAAAAGCATAAAAAATGACCAATATTTTTATTATCAAGCTGTCATCAAAAATAAATTGAAGCGGGTGATACATAGTGGCACAAATTCTTGAACCACATAAGATCAGAGACCAAAATTGGACAAATTCAAATAGATTTTTTTTTTATATCGTAATTCAAGTAGATTTTTAATAGCATATTCACCCCCTCTGCTCTATGTTATGACCTTTATACGTTACAGCAAATGTTTTTGTTGACAATCCCATACCCGTGACCAAAACAATTCATCTGCCTGCTCCCAGGACACATCTCCAAATGGTAAAAGGGGAGGGTGGAGAAATTCAGCTTTGCTTGAAACTGCTGCGTCAAGGGTTCGAATCCTGAAATATGGATTTGGCTCTTGGATAAGTGCAAGTGTACAAACAACCTTCCATCCTATACCCTTGAAGGCATAATCTACGATTTACCTCCCTCGTGATATTCTAGGACAGAGGTGGTGGGGCCCTTGGAATTCAACCTTTAATTCATCTGCCTGCCATACGTCACTTGTCACATTTCCGAAACCAAACTAATTAATTGCGAATTTGCATGTTGTGGACCCTACCACCTTATCACTTTAATTCATCTGCCTGCCATACTGCCTTTTTACAGCTATGCTCCAGCAAGGAACATCAAAAGTCCATCTGATGCAGTCCAAACACGCGACTTGCGGGACACGGCTACTTATTATTATTATTATTACTCGGATATTTGTGGCGGAGATTAAAATTAGGCTCCATTTGATTTTCATTCTTTGATCACAAAAATTAAAAATATGATAATTATTTATCAGATTAAATCATCATATTTGATTTTTTATCTCTTATATGAATCGCGTAACGATTATATTTTTCATCCTCATTCTGACAAAAATAGGTACCAAATGGCGCCTAGATTTTTTTAGTGAATTGTGAGAGAAGTTTTAGAAACGTGTGGTTAAAAAGTTGTGAAATTAATATTGATTATTTGACTTTGACTTAAATTAAAATTAGATTTTAATCCGAACCAAGCATGCTCTAACTAATCTTTTAGTAGAGAATATTGATACATTCTCGTTTGAAATAGGATTTTTTATTTTTGTTGTTTATAGAATGAAATTTTATACGACATCGTCGTTTCCCAATTCTCTTGAACTAGTTTCGATTGGATTGAGCTAATAGATCAGAAAAGAATTCTTCGAGTAACTGCCACGAAGAGGTTGATAAACTTAGAATAAAGTTATATACAACTATAAGCATGGTCAAATGTTAGATATGAGCTATGGTACAAACATATCCTATAGTTGGATACCAGCTTTTGTGAAAAATATGAGTTTTATATATGGTAATTTTTTGGAGAATGTATGGCACTATGATTAAAATTAAAGAAAAATTTTAAATTTACATATAAAATTATTTTATTGAGAGAATGTATAATTAAAAATGACTAATACTACTTGCACATAAATGTTTACAAACAAATGAGGTGTCAAAAAGAAAGTGAAATTTTTTTTGATCCAATCATATTTACCACATCATGTATATGTAAACCATTATGTAAACTTATTATGTACATGTAATAGAACCAATTAAAAACAAGTTTAAAAAAATGAGTTTTTATAGATAATGAAGTTCAAACAGGGACTTAATAGGCACAAGTGTACCTAGTGTATTTCATATGAATGAGTTGTTGCGTCGGTGGGACTCTTTTTTTTCGGTAAATGTGAAATTTTATAGATCAAAATTAATTTACAAGTACACTGAGTATACCCGAAAAATCAGAAAATAAGTTACCAATACATGTACACCGGGCATACTCAGGAGAAAACAAATAAAAACAGATGTACCAACATCGGTCTAAAGGCCGACTTCAAAAGATTCAAATTGAATCAAAACATACGAATACAAAGTGAACATAACTTTATAGATGGAGTATAAGATTAGTCATTAATCTCAACAAGGTATGGATAAGAATCCGTGTGTGATGGATTGATTTATATTCCATTAGTATCTGATGTAGAATCTATTTAAACAATCAAACTAGGATTAAGAAAGAGCAGAGGAAGCAGAGAATAGAAAAGCAAAAGAGAAGAAGCAACGATAGAATGGATAGAGAAGACAGGAGAAGAAGGAGAAATTAGGGAGAAGGGGAGAAGGAGGAAGCCCTAGGCAACAAGCCAAACATTTTCATATTCTTCAATTCATCGTCTTCTTGGAAGTTCAATACAAATATATAAATAATAAAAATAAATCTAATAGTTATTGGGTTTGGACCAGTCCATAATACGAACCCAACTAATAAAGCAAAAATTAATTAGTCCAAATCAAGATAAGATGATGATGCCCTCATCGGTATCCTCCAATGATCTTGTAACTTCTCTTTTTCTTTAATGCATCATTTTGTTCAAAAAGAAGAAACGGCGTGGAAATCAAGTTGATGATAGAGCTTGCAGCCGACCATGAAAGAAAATTGACTTCATACATGTATTTGAATAGTCAAATGGCGGCTTAGGTTGATCACTATCTACAGGCCATGAGAAATGGTCAGATACAGTTTCTCAGACAGACCTTTTCCTCAATATTATAGTAAAGCCAACGCGAACTGTTTCAGAAGTTGCCATCCTCTTTATTTTCAAGATTATTCCACCCTCCTCATCCTTCCTATATAAATAAGTATGAACTATCCCTTCTTGTATATCCTCCATCCTTTCTCTAATATTCGTCAAGAAACCAATATTTCGATCAAACGATGAATTCAATATTCAGTTCATTCGATGCCTTTTCTGCTGAATTCCTTGGTCAACTGGTCAGGACATCTGTGTCTTGTCCAGAACCCTCGCGAAAGCAAGAGAATCAGTTAATCAAGGAAAGACGAAACATCGGTGGACAAGGAGATAATGGTAAGAAGTCGGAAGAATTAAGGAAAACACAGCCGGCAAAGGGTGCTCGGTTTGCACCGGAGTTGGACGGATTGTACTGCTTTGAAACCTTCGTATCTTATTGAATTGCTCTGGGTTGCTATGGCAAGTTAGAAATTAGCTAATTCGGAGTCTGTAAGATACATATATATCTTCAATTTGGTTCATTAATATTCTTTAATTATCTCCGAAAGGCGAAAACAGTTCATTTCTACCGTCAGTCTGTAATATAATTTTCCAATATAATTATATTAATTAAACGTGGGTGTGGCTACTTGATTTGTATATGTTTGCACAAATCTTGTTTATCGATAATTTTGTTAAATAGCGAAGTGTTTTCTATATCCTATTTGCCAAATATTAGAGCATCTTCAATAGCGGTTAAAGTAAATTTAAATCGCGACTTAGAGCATGTTCAATGATGGTATAAAATCGAGTGTAAATTGATATTTTCAAATTTACTTTTGCATTCTTGTTTACATTTTGGTGGGTCAAAATTTAAATTTTGCTCAAATGAAAATATATGAATTCACTTTTTCTCTCGTGTATATAACGAAGATGTAAATTTATATCATTTTTTTACATTTTCCGTCAAAAAATACAATTTGTATTTCCTTTGCATCCCTCTATTTACCGGTTAGTTGGGATATCTAAATTATAATTTAGATTTATTTTATACCACGATTGGAAATGCTTTCAAATTTTCAAAGTGGACGAAAACATCTTCAATAGAGAGATGCAAAGAAAATGTAAATTATATATATATATATATATATATATATATATAGACACACACACACACAAGAGGTAAAAAGTGAATTTAAATCTTTTCATTAGAACAAAATTTGAAATTAAATCTATAGAAATGTAAATGAGGATGCAAAAAAATTTTTAACATATCGATTTATACTCAATTTTACGGTATTTAACCTTCACGTGACTCTACAGACCAAGGGTTGGCTGCACTCGAGCACTGCAACTGCAAAGTATTAAATACGTTATCATTACAGTCATAAAATATATTAAAACTCCTACTTTTAATGTCCACTGACCCCCATTTTTACCTGCATATAATCTCTTAAATATTTTAAAACGGATTAAAATATATAAAAAAATTTAAATATCAATCTTTTATCGTAATTTATAACGTGAAACATGTTTGTAAACTAGTGACTAAATGCGATCTGATTTCAGTGTGTTAGGCGCATCGGCAGAATCCAGCTTTTCACCACTAATCACTGAAGAAGGAAGTCTATCCCCGCAACTGGAGTGGCCTTTATCTTTCCAATGCACTAATAGACAGATTCAATGTATAAAATATACGGTGAATAATTCGTCGTTATTCAGTCCTTGTTTGGGATCCATTTTAGTGATTAAAAAATAATTAAATTTATATATAATATTATTTTATGAGAGAACGTGCGATTGAAATTGAATTTAAAAAAAAAAAAAATAGAGCCAAACATAGGTTTAGCAGCCACAGTCATCCAAAATACGAATTTCAAAGCCCAAGATGCACTCGATACTAGAAATCGTCAGCAATATCATTAGATGATCATGATCGTCAATCAATGTGACTATCATATTATTATTCAGGGCTTGTTCAGTAGTAATTATGAAAATTATTTTTTGATCATTAAAAAGAAAAGTGAATTCTACGTGTGAAAGAACAAGTAAAAAGTGACGGATGAAATAGTGAAATAACAGTCAAGATTTGATTTTTTTTTGGGTGAAAAATTGCTAGCAAACGGGACCTATAAAATTCTTTAGTAGGGAAATTTTCTTGTCATGCAACAATACTCTGTGACAGAATTTTACTTAAACAACAGTAATAATCAACTTCTCAGGACAGGTAATTTTGATTCACAAACAAAACGACTGAAAATAAGACAAGGGAAAAAGTAAATCAGCATGAAATTTCCAATTTTCAAGGAATGCCAACATTTCTATCTTTTCTTGACCTGTAGCCGGCTACCTTAAGGCTCAAATAAAAGATAAAAAGAATACATTTTTTCTTCTACAGAGGACTAAAGCCTCACATTCCTTGCTCCCCTGAAGGACAAGCCAACCAGGATGGCATCATTGGGTCGATGCTCATGTCCCAATAATTACAACCTTCTACCAATATTAGCAAACCTTCTGGCAACTCCAAATATAACAGCCTTGGTCAAGAGCCCTCGATCCAGACTACAAGCAAGGACAATGGCTCCCCCGACAATTAGGAACTTCGGTATATTTCTTCCTGATGGCTTACTTTCTGAATCAAGAGCTTCGACTTCTGATGAAGTGCTTGTGCTCCCCAAGGAGTCGAGGGTGTCAAGACTTACTTTAGTGTTAATCTGAGCCATGGAAGCACAATGAGAAAGTGAAGCTCCAGATGCTATGTGCTTCTGGTAGGCACGCAATGCGGGATCGATCTTCTTCACAGCCCCCCACATACCTTGCCTAATACCAAGTTTTGCAATTTCCCAAGGTATACCCATGTCTTCATGATGGAAAAGTAGAACTTCACATGCAGTCAATTGGCCGTCTCTCTTTGATTCAACTGATTCACCAGAAAACTTACTCATGTTAGTGGCCGATGCAATTATCAGTCAGCAAGATTATCTTTTCTTGCACTTCTTATTTGTTTATTATGATTCAGGGAAAATGGTCTCAATTTCTCAACCACTTGGTTTTTATGAGAAAGGTTGTGTGTATGGAATTGCAGATGAACAAGTCCTTTTCATCATGTAGAATTATATTAAGTCAAAACGTTCTTCAGTTTCTTGTACTATGCCTTTAAGGAGTCACCATTAACTTTTTTACATATGAATTTAACAAGTCCGGTAGCTCGGCCAGCAATCCTGGCATTAATTGTAATGGAACTATGGCATGGAAAGTTAGATACCTGCACGAATGCACCAACTCGAAAAATACACATCCACACGTCTTGGTTTATTGCGACGCGGCAGAGAAGAGCATGGAACGGCCTATAACATGGAGCAACTTTGCTTAAGTAAGAATATCCCAGAAAGCATAAATCATTAAAATTATAATGTAAAGATTCCGGTGAACTTATGGTATCTCCAAACGACTCAAGTGGTGAGTTTAGATAGACAGGTAAAGCAAACCAATAGCATTCTACACTTAAAATAAGACAGCCAGTTTTTGATAAAACAATATACATAACATATATGTGTGGCTGCTATGGTTAGAACTGATTCTCCACGGCACAAAGTGGAATTCTTGCCACTTTGCAAAATTTTCATATGATTATCAAATTTTATATGTCAAGAATGGTCATCTATTCTCCTACCTTTGTAAGACAATAATATGATCGTCCAGATTCCCAAATTCGGCGACCTATGATATATTCTCTGTCACTACAAAAGAATGGAAACTGCACCACAAGAAATGTATCTTATAAATATGCCTCAAACGCAAACCAGAAGAACCATTAGCATAAGCATAAGGATAAGCATAAGCATACGAAAAAGAAAGCTCTTCTTACCTTCCGTACCCACTGAACCATCATGGTCCCTGTGGTGGGACATTCTTCTAAAGTTTCAGCATGTACAAGCATGTCATCCCACTTAGCTCGGAATTCATCATCCCAAAAGAAATCCCTCACCATTTCAGGAGTGGCATCCTCATAAACAGTTCTGCTACGATATTGTGGAGGTCCATTCTAGGAAATGAAAATAAAAATTGCAATTCATTAGTTACAACTATCAGCACTTATAATTTAAACACAAATCATATCCTAAAGTCGATATTGAATGGTCAAATAGAAAAACTTGAGAAGAAAAATTTACCTCAGGGTCTCTTCTCCAAGCTTGATAGCTCATATTGGGGGTTGACCTATCCATCATCTGAATCCAAGCAGGTCCTCCATCTTTTTCCTCAACTAATTGATGTAAATCTTTAAGGTCATCCTCATTCACAAGTCCCGTTCTTTCCTTTTCTAACTTCGATGAACTGATTGCACAGAATTCAACTTCGTAAATGATTCAATAGGGGTTCAAGTATTCATGTCAAAGAATTAGCTTAACTATCTATCAGCTAAACTAGACAAAATTAACAATTAGCAAAATTTAAGTTCCAAGAATTTCAAGAAAGTAGAAAACTATCCCAACCCACCTGCAATCAGGACTTGGAATTGAAGGCGGAGATGAAGTATCTTTCTCAAATCCAAAATCAAAAATCGAAGAAACGCAGCTGGGAACTTGTAGTTTCAATGAATTCATGCTTGGTATTGAAGGAAACTGCAAAAAGACCATCCCTGACCCGGAAGAAGAAGAAGATTCTTGTTCCTTTGCCGTACAATCAATAAGATCCACCTTCAGACTAGCCCATTTGGGCTTCCAGGCCCACCCCACCAAAACTCCAACAAAAACAGCTATCCAGATGGGAGCCATGAACCCCATCAGCTCAATCATCATATCTCCAATTGTGGGTTTTTGAAAAATCTCAAGGAAAGCCGAAATGAAAGCCATTACAGGATAAAACAAAATCCCTAAACACCCAGATACAGGGAAAAATCACTATTGAAAAGAATAAAGAAAAAAGAACTCCTCGATTCAATCGAATAAAGATGTAGCCTTTAGGCACAACGATGACTCAAAGGGTTCAAAAGAAAAAGATAAACCCACAAAACTCAAAATTTAGTAAGGATAGAATAAAAGAAATAAGAAAAAGATAAGTCCCAATATATAAAAATGGATCACAATAAATTATTATATCACTTATGGGTTTTGCAGAACAGAAACAGAGAGAGAGAGAAACAAAACTGGCTGTGCATGAAGGAAATCAAAAGATTGAGAGGATAAGGATGTGAGAGATTAGCGGCATATAAACGAGTTCGAATTGCCGTAGGCCCCCTTTTATTTCTCTTCACGAATGGTAATGATTTCCCCTTTCTCTGTCTAACATTTGGCAGTTTATTGAATTGTATCTATTGATTTTTTAATACTTACTCTCAATGCTGCTGGTATAATATCTGCAACTATTCTCTCACCCTTCCAAAAACAAGTATAAATTATTGCACCAACAAAAATTGCAACTCTAAAATGGAAATGAAATTGCCAAATAGAGATTAGAAATCCTAATGGAGAAGAAGAAGATAACTCTGCCAACTTGTAATTGATTTCAGAATAAGAAGACTAGGTCTGGTTCAATTAAATAGTCTTGAGAGGTGGGTTTGGTGGTTATGGTGTCACATCATTAAATTTTGAAGTTTTTGCAAAAATGTTGATTTGATTCGGACTTTCTGTGCATTTTGTGGTCTGTGGTCTACGCGTTCTAATTTCTTACTTTTTCATGTTTTGAAAACATACGTTTTGGCTAACATATATAAAAAAAATTGCGTGATTTACATGATCAGCGTTTCTCTCGTTTATTATAAGAAGAAATATTTTTCATGAAAAATATATTTTTTTACTCAAATTCTGACTTTTATGCTATTTGACTGACATTTTTCCCATAGAAAATATATTTCTACTTTTTGATCATGTAACCTTATTTTTCTCAAAATCAAGGAAAATATTTATTTTAGAAGGAGTAGGATTTTATTTTTCAGAGAATTTACTTTCTTATCTATTCACTCTCATCTATCCACCAATAAAAATCGGACGAATATAATATTTTCTATATTGAAAATTAAATTAATCAAATACATTTACTTGACAATTTTCATGCAAATAAGTTCTAAGCAATTAAATTACCTAAAATTTATTTTCTTTTTATACAAATTCTATGTTTGCAATTAAATGCACATTTAATATGAACCTCAACTGGCCCCTCATGGGGTGATCGAATTGGTGGAGTAGGTGAGTGCGAAAACCTTTGGTCACAAATTCTATTCCCCTACCAACACTTTATCGGTCAAGTTTATCGCACAGAACTTGCCTAGTGCAATTTACCTGACTGATGTAATTTGCAGGCTATTGCGTCAGTCCAAAGATTTACCTAGTGCGCACTCGAATGATAGCGGCTGCGAATTCCCCTATCATATAAAAAATATATATGTGTATATATATATGGACCTCAACCGTGTACAATTTTTCTTCTTGCTATATGTTAGATAAGCAAGTTTAAATAGCAATAAAAATTAATAACAGAAAAAGAAATTAAATTTTTTATTTTATTTTACTGTTTAATCAAATTCAATCGCACAATCATAATACATCCTGCACTTGATTATAGTCAAGTTTCAGCTCGATCTAACATCAAGCAAAGAGTTAAAAATTATCAATAATTTCAAACTCTTACCTTGATCGAATTTATTTTCGTGCATTTCTTTATTTACATTTCTATAAATCGTTAGCCTATCAAAATTTTCTACAAGTAAAAAGTGAGTTGCCGGATTTTAATTTACGTACGAATTTTACCAACATAACCTACTAAAGGTATGAAGGCATTTCAATTGTTTTTAATAGTTCCTCTCCAGTTATATATATATATATATATTTATTTATTTATTTATTTTTGAACTACTCTTACAAGCTATTTATATTTAACACTTAATTTTATTACTCTAAAAAATATTTATTGTTTTTTTCTATAGTTTCTTTTAACTAACTTTTTTTTTTAGATTATTATTATATTATTTTCATACATTAAAAATTGAAATATTTTGAATGCATTTAATTATAGAAAATATTAAAATATAAATTTAAAAAGTCTCTTAAAATATGATTTTAATAGTTACATTGGTCTTTTAAGAATTTGGGTGGTCAAATCGAATAAGCGTGGTTGAACTTTGAATGACAAAAGCTCATACCAGCGTGTAATAATTAATTTCATCAATTGAATTGAACGTGATATTTTTCAGAATTTATAATTAAAAATAAATGTGACAAAGTGATTTTTAAATTATTACTTTCAATCAAGGTCTAAACATAGACTTTTTTCCTTAAAAAAAAAAAAAAGCGTTTATATGTTTACATGTGCAAAAATTATTGTATATATTGGAAAGTTATATTCTTTTGTTGCTTTGCGACGAAAATAAATAAATTATTTGTAGACAAAGCTTTGGTTGAGAATGGTGTGTGATTAATAATTGAAAAGTTACTAAAAATCAAATCAATTTATATTTTAAGAAGCATACTTTTTGAAAAACGTAGTTGTGTTGACAATCACGGGGACATGCTGCAGATTACTGTCAACAAGTCTACCTAATTCCCCCTAACACAAACAAAGTTTAATAAACTGAAATTTTAAAATAATAATAATAATAAATAAATAAAAATCGAAATTTATTTGCAATTATATTTTAATTACACTTAAAATCTCAAGCTTTGTTCATTATAGCACTTATTTCTCATAAAAATAAAAAAAATTCTCTTATTAGTTAACATATCTCATTGTTGATGATGATTTCTCAATTTGTATGCTTTGAAATCAACTAAAAGTAATTTGTGAATAAGTCTTTTTATCCTCTCTAAATGGATTTTTCAGATGAAAATTGTTGTCAAAGACGAGATATACTAGTTAAAAAAATGTTGAAGATAAAAATTCAACGAAAAAAGTAAATACTATAAGTGCTACAATGAGAAAACCCTGAAGACTTTTGATGATGCAACAAGTAAAAACTACGATGTTAATATAATTATTCTTCTATTAAAATATGGTCATTTTAGACATGTAAAATGGTTGTATTGCCCTTTTATCATATTATAATCTTGGCAATTTGGGTAAAGTTGTTGAGGAAGAGTAAAGAGTCTAAATTGACAAAAAACCATGTCAATTTTGATTAGTTTGACCAGAGGCTGCTCAAATATCTTGAGGGCCTTAAAATTTTTAAGTGGGTTTTAAATGATAATCATCTAAAAGAATTTTATTGAGAAAAAATCACCAACTGTAGTAAACGATAATTAATATCGAACAGAATTAGTGACGGCAATATCATCACTGATCACTTATGCGCATCTGTCATGTCAACAATCACAAAGAGTTATTCAATTGTCGACCACCAATGAAGATACAATTATCCTTATTCAATTTTTTCAACATCTTATCGGTAATTTAGGATTTTCTTTTATTTGTTATTTAAATTAATACAAATTTTATTTTATTACAATCGAAATATTTCTTCCTTGTTATTAAGTTCCATGTTTTAATTACTTTATTAATTGACGCAATCCCCATGACAAATTTAGTATATTAAAACATTTAACTTTATTTATATATAACTACTAACGATAGACAAACTCCCGGCAAATCCAAACACCATCAGCCCCATCCAAGGAAAAGCATGATATGGTGACCATGGTTCCTCGCATGTGGCAGTAGTCCTTATTGTAATTTATTGTTCAAACTTATAATGATAAGTGTTTTGTAATAATCAAACATCTATATGATTGCATTCAGTAAGTACAAAAATATCGAAAACAAAAAGAAAAAGAAAAAATGGCCTAGGTGATTGCCTAGGCCATCGGTCAGGCTGTCGCCCAGTTGAGCGATTGGCCACCCTACTTTAGTGTGGCCTGATCGATCACCCAGTTTTATAATTTAGGCGATCCCCCAGTTCGAAAATCGGATTATTTTTTGGTCTATTTTTTGAAGTCTTTTTATGGAAAAACTCAACTTTTCATGAGTCATCGAGATCTTTCGTGATATATGAATGATAATCTATAAATAGGAGATAGATTTCATACTTTAAACATAATTAAACCACCAATCTTGAGATCATTTCCATACTCGAAAGAGGTTTTCAAAGTGTATATACATATTCATAAATAATACTGTTCTTCAAATTCTAAACAGAAAACACAAGTGTTTAACTGTTTATTCTTCTTCTAGGCTTGTTCAATTATACAAATCATTTGCATTGAGTCCTTTTAAGCATCAAAATTGTTAGGATTTTACGCACTGTCAGACAAAAATGACTAAAATTAAAGAGTTGTAGAAGTCAATGAATTGGTGGAAATATCGTATAGTTGAAGTAGGAAACCTAGGGTTCGAGTTTAAAACAAGAGGAAGCTGCGCGGATTTATGCTAACCTATCGCCCAACTCATGCTTGACTTGCAAGAATAAAAATTTTCCCCATCCTGTCACTGAGCGATGGTGGAAATATCATATAATTGAAGTCGGAAACTTAGGGTTCGAGTTTGGAACAAGAAGAAGCCACTGGATTTACGCTAACTATCACCCAACTCATGCTCGATCGGCAAAAATAAAAACTCTATTGTCTACCTATAGCTGAGCTATTGCTCGAGCGACAAACCATCATCCGCTTGTCACTGAAATCTCGCTCAAGCGACAGTGTTGCATGAAAAACCTTACTTCGTGTTTTTTAAGAGTTTTACACGACACTTCTACTATAAATACCCAAGGTATTACATGAAATTTAGAGTGGTTGTTCATTATAATACTTCTCCATATCCTTACTTGAAGAATCAAGAACACATCCATACATTGATTTCTATCCTTCGATTCTTGAGATCATACAACCACTTGTTGGGAAAAAATATCAAAGTTCCATAATCCAAAATACCCACTTCCTTAAGACATCGATGAATGTACTTTTTCAATAGCTTTCAAAGATTGCTGATGATTGAAGGATGTTGGACTACAAGCAAAGGAAAAGAACAACAATTGGTTGTTTTTGATGATCCACAAGAGATAGATAATTCCAAAAAATCGAAAGTATGTGTAAGTTGAGCACGTTCTCGCAGGTCTTGGAGATTGCAGGAATTAATTCAGCGAGTCTAGTGGAATTTGCTAAGCTAGATCGGACTATAACTTCACATTGTCTATATAGTGGAGGTTACTAGCTTAGCTCCAACGATTTTACCCAGCTGGATTTTTTCCGTCAACAATATTGGTGATATTTATTGCTTTCATACTTATTGTTTGTGGCATTCAAACCATAGGATAAATTGAACTGTTTGATTAACCATCTAGAAACAATTAAAAAGTGACTTATTGCTTTTAATTGATAATTTTAATTTCGCAACATTCACCTATTCACACTCTCTAGGTGATTTTAGGGTCGAACCAGTAGTTTTTCAAAAATCAATCATTTTATTGTTAAATTATTATTCCTTTTACCTACTGACTTTTTTTTTTCATAACACTATTTTTTTTTTATTTATTAGCGACAGAATTTTCATCAATAAAATAAATTTATCAAAAGAAAAGAAGTCTGATTTTAGTGTAAATTGTATCTAAGAAACACGATGTATTTTGAATTTTAATTTATTTCATTGATGATAACCGCTAATCAATGGTTTGAAAATTTTTTAGAATTTCAAGAAAGACGGAAAGGGCAAAAAGCGTGGAAGATCAAATATTGAATAAAAAATAAAGATAAAATTTTTGAACCTTGGAAAATGCCTAAATGGCCTTATTCTCAAACCAATTTTGAGTTTGACAATAATGTCGAGATGTTATGAAATTCATGCAAAAAGAAAGAGCGATTATCTAAATGAACTAAAAATTCTCGTCAACTCGTTGAACGAGAATGTCTAGATAGTCCAAAATTCGTACAAAAAAAGAAGAAGAAATATTGGGGACATTTTTATTTTTCAAAGAGAATGATTTTATTTGAAAAAATAAAAAATTGAAAATTATTAAGAAGCCCGAAAATAGTAGCTAAAAACAATTCATTTTCTCACCATGAAAGTGTCCTTCAGAGAAGATTTCCTCTTTTTTGGTAAGATAATACAAGAAAATAAATTTTGAAGTTTAATCCAACTATAATTTATTTTAGTATTTAAATTGGGAAATGGCTATTGATATGATTTTTCAAGTGTAGTTCTCAACGGTATTTGTATGTTTTCCTGAAAGAGTAGCATACTTTCTTTTGAAAATTGTTGCTGTTTTTATTAAGAGAAAAAGTATTATTCAGCTTGTACTTCAATAAAATTTATCGTACAATGGTAAAAGTAAAATGTCACTTTGCCCGAAAATGTTTGACATTCGAAGTGATCGACCCTCAGAAAGTTCGCAAGTTCCACGTGAATTAAATAATGTCAGACCCCTAAAGTGTATGTGTGTTCGTTCTCTCCTATGATAGCTATTATGTTGCTCTAACTCAGTCCATATTTCACAGTTGTATGCAAGTATTAATGACATTAGGCAATAAATTTAATTAAAACAATTTCAATTTGCACAACAATGGATTCCAAATTTTATTTTTCAGTCTATATCGTTGAATCAATATGAAAATCAAAAGTCAAGTCATTAATTCAAAGTGAAAGACAGAATAAATGCAAAAGCTGGATGTGGCCGGACATTAAAAGATATATAAGTTTCAACGAAGAAAAAAATTTATCATTGAAAATTTTAATTTTCGTTCTTGTTGATCAATGACAATTAATTTCATTAAGCGTTCAACGACCAATATGAATGGGGTAGTTGAATCATATACATTCACGACGTATCTATTGTTGACATTATTTATTTATTTATTTTTGCATTTTCGTTAAATTGTATTGAAATATGCATTGGGAGAAAAAAGAAACTAATCATTTTTGAATTTGTTAGAATTCCCCTTTCTATCCAGCTAGTTTGATGAAAGACTTTATAATGCCCTTAATTTAGATACATTATTATTGAGGTGGTGTATGAAACCTTGAGTTTGTCAAGTTTTGGCTTGAATAATTGCATGTAGAACGTCATGTTGTTAGACCAAGATTCAGTCTAGCAAAATATGACAAAGTTTACAAGATCATAATAGTGTTCTTCTCAAAATATCACTTACGAACCACCTTAAATCAGAACTAGAGGTGGACAAAACTTCCGAACCGAATCAAGTGATTATTTTTAAGTTAAATACTCAAATAGGTATCAGAATAAAAAACAGGCGAGTGTTCGATTCGATTTTTGGTTCTAAATCAAGAACCGAAGAATCGAAATAAGAACCAAATGTCCCTAATTTTTTAATTAATTTATTTTAAATAGATTTAATTATTATATTTTTTAAAATAAATTTGCTAAATAGTTAATTTAGCTCAAACCCAAAGATATGATTTTCCTATTTTTAATTTTCAGTTCAAACCCAACTTAAACAAGTTGATTTAAGTTTTACTGAAGTCTGTTGTTTTACCGTAGTGCAATTTCTATCCATTTAGAGAAATCGAATTGAAACTCAACAACGTCATTCTTAATTATTGTAAGCTCGCTATCTTCCTCTTCCCGTGATTTTAATAATCAAATTTATAAAAAACTCAACAAAGAGAGACGCAAAAGACACATAAGATTAAACTATGTTATTTTGTTAAAATTAAGATTAAACATGTCATTAGTTGAATTAATATAGTTTAGTAAATACTAAAAAAATTTAATTATAGTACGGAACTAGAGAAACGAATGGAACCAAACAGAATCGAACTGAATAAAATCGAACCCGAACGGTTCTATGATTAAATTTGGACCCGACAGTTTCACATACTAAATACTCGAAAATTTCGAATCCGATTCGATTCTCGTTAGAATCGAACCGGATCATGCCCAACCTTAATCAAAACCCTAAAGATTCATTTAGACAGTGAATTTTTACAGACCAAAAAAGGAATATAAAAACCATCAAAAAATTTCCCCAAACTCTAATGATAGAAGAATGATTCAAAAAAGAAAGTGGAGTGGATTCTAAATGTTTCCAAGTCGATTAGGCATTTAGTAGAAGTCTTTTGAACCAGAGCCATTCCACGGTGACAAAATATTTACGTGTCAGAATATAATAAAAAGTACCAGAAGCCTCAAACACCACAATTTCTTTTTGTTATATCACTTTTTAATAGTCAACAAAATTTTCACCTCCAAAGAAAAACCTATTTTGAAAATTATCAATTCTTCTTTTGGTGTACTAAAGTTCAATAACATTTGCTAGTAGTCACACTCGTTTCCATCTTTTTTTCATCATATTCGTGCCTTTTTACATTAATTAAAAGTTACGATATTATAATTATAATCACCTTTTATATTCTCTCGTACATTTGTTGTTGACAATAATGGATACCACAATTGACGCTGTCAAAATCTGGTCCATTAATATTAAAAATAATTTTTGAAATGGACGAATGTAATATTAACAAGTATGATTGTCAATCAATGATTGTACAAGTAGCATGACCTTTCCATTAATCATGTATGAGAAGTGCTATACAACCAGATTCATTTGAACTGAATTTGAACAGGTTACTCACAAATGAGATGGGTCACACCCAATTAAAAAATGGCACAAATAATATCATTGTGAGTAATCTGTACACAATCCGTTCAAATGAATATGTTAGAATAGCTTTTTCGATCGTGCATTATAACAATTTTGACCTTAAACATTGTTGTGATGTTTATAGCAAACCCTACATCTATGTCATAATCTAGTACGTGCCTTTGAAATTAAACACATGATAATCACTATGACAATTGAGATTGATGCCAACGCCGTCCATTCTTATAGCACTAACATCACAACTTTCGAAGGGACCCCACCATTGGTCACTTCAATCAACGTATTCTTCTTTTTCATTATTTCCACAAGTTTGGTCACAACCATTGAGACTAAAAGAGATTAGGAAAAAATAGACCAACCCTCACCTCTCCTTCTCACCGACCAGTGTGTAGGCATACTTCATTTTCCGGCCAGCAGTAATACCAAATAATATTCTTTCAAAAAGGGAAAATAAAGGTATAAGTAATTGTTCTGGTGATTATTTACGTGAACGTGTTTGGTAAAGCTTTAGTCAGAGTATAAGTTGTGGATCTTATTAAATGTATGAAGAATTAAGAAAAAAGTAAGTAAAAGTTGTGAAACTTACATACATTATGGATTAAAATAGAGCTCAAGTCGCTTATAAGCGATAATAAGCTTTGCCAAAAATGCACATAATCTTTTTTCTCACAACTTTCGTCACGAGTTGTGTACTTAAAACCTTCGTATTGCCGAGTGTTTACATAGTCATCATTCATCCTTGATTTTGAGCCTGGAATCAGCAATTCTCTCTTCGGATGGATTGTTACAAAATTCTTATGAGATAATAATCTACAACTGCTAGAATCACTTCTATTATTGCATGAGTTGAATTAGAGTAATTTTATTTATAATCGTTCATTGTCGTAGTTACCCTACATGATATACATGTGGTGATTAGTGATTTTGACACATTAATGTGATAATTTTTTATTACCTTATGCATCAAATAACACGTAGGACGATTGTAGTAGCGAGCGATTGCAAATAACATTATTCGCTAAATTAGGTAGCAAGATAGAAGAATAGAATGTGCAGAGTCTACACTATGCTGGGCCCTCTTGGGTACAGGACTGTTATATTGGGCCTCTTATCCCATTCCTGGCTCAAAGTCATTGGGCTGCTTAAGTTTTGTAGTTGTCTTGAAGACGACATTGATTTCAACTAAAATATTTCATTCGTTCTTGGGCTAAAAACAGCAAATAAATTAGTGATATACCTTCAAGCGAAATCAGTAATTAGCAACAATGGGGAAGATTGATAATCCATGGCCATGCTTTTCATTACAAGAGACATGCACAAACGTATATATTACAGCCACTATGAGTTAAATATAGAGCAAAGATTTTAGAAACTGGTATGCCAAACTGCTCCATCACCCTCACCACACCTCTGATGAACCTCTTCCATTCTTTCCGCCGATTTACACATGCCACTACAGCTCCAATCAAACGACGCAGCGCAAGGGTTCCCAGCTTGGGCCTTCCACTCACAGTCTTTTAAAATAATGAGCAAATATCAAATGTTCAGAACAAGTAGCAGCTATGCACGTGCCCGAAATTCGTGTGGCGTGCTGGTAAAAGGAAATCTAGATTCAAGGAAGGCTGTGAATGACAAAGGGATGTGGAAAGTTAACTTACCAGGGGGCGTCCCACAGCAGAGGCTTCTATCATCGATATGTTCAACATCTAGACCAATAAACCAAGATCCAAGAGAGACATCTTCGTTTGCATACCTGTGAAGTACGTGTCTAGGGAAAAATAATAGCCGTTAAAAATTAGTATCCACAACAACTAAAGCATTCAAAGCAAGGATTTACCTGTTAACAGAAATGTAGGTTGCCAAATCTTTGGAAATTGCATATATTTGTCCAGTTGCATGCCTAAAGTACTTGTTTCCTTCCTCACCAAATTTCCAGTACTCTGGTTCATGGTACTTGACCCCTCTGCGTATATGGCATCTTAGTTATGAATATATTGAAAAACTACAGACGTACATCACAAGCTATACAAGACTGACTTCTGTGCAAGGACAGGTCCAGACTTCATGCAACCAATGTAAACACGAGGTTTGGAACGATGGCGGGCCAACAGTGAACCTACCATACCTGTCAAGAAAATAACCAATGTGGAACCTTATCAACAGTCCAACCATTGAGAATTCATAGTAGTGTAAACTCAGAAAGTTGTGTTGAAGAAGGGTTATGCTGACCAAGATTAACATGAACATCATCATCAACTTTTATGTAAAAGTCAGCATCCCACTTGGCAGCAGCGCTCGAAAAGTAGATTTGGGTTTTTGAGGACAATTCATGATATCCTTCTACATGATTCTGCAATTTAAATTGTTTCAATCCCACGTGAAGCAGTGATATTCAAATACGTGATATTCATTAGAGAAGAATAATATAAGCCTAAAGAAAACTCAATTGGGTTACAAATCCTAAATATTATAGCTAAATCAACTGGCTATTTCAGAATTTGTCCATGTCAAATACTGTGTGATATATGAACCAGATTCCACTTCAAACATGCATTTTTTATTTTTTTATTATTTATTATTATTATTTTTTTTTTTTGTGGGTTGGGGGGGGGCAAAAAAAGTAAAGTAATTCTATTACAAAGTTCTCAGAGCCATTAATATGTTAACTATTGTACCTTGAGGCATCCAATTTTCTCTAATAGAATCTCTGCGTTTTCGGCTACTGAATGCTGTAGTGATACCCATGACAAAGAACACCTTGGGTCTGTCACTGGACTGTTCATTTCCTGATTTTTCTTCATTCTCTGCTTTAGCTGCTCTTGCTCCAGCAAGCTGCATTTCCAGTGAAGATATGGTTTTGTCCAATGTCCTAAGGCATTGAACCACAAATTTAGCATAAGACTTACCCGACTAGATTTCAGAAACCAACTAGGTAACTAAATTATTTTTTGGCAAAATAATGAAGATAAAGATGCATTATAAGCAAAATTGCTAAAAGCTGGATAAGAAAGTTACATGATTACATCATGAGTTTGAGAAACCTGAGAAAGGATGTCCCCTGCCTGAAAAGCTCCCTGCAATATGATAGGAAAATTCTGTAATTCTTTGTAAAATTTATAGGGCCTAAAACAGAAACCATGGTGGTGACTTGCCTTCTTCTCACATGGAAGTAGAGGGTGAATATCTCTAGACAGGTGATTACCCACTGATATAACATCGTTATGCATATGGAATGAATCAGGAGAAGTCCAAAGCCTTGAGGAACAAATAGATTGTCAAGAATATTGAGGTCAATCATGAAGCTGTATGGATGCAGTATTTGCACATTCTAATGAGTGTTCAAACTATATCATGGTAACAAGATAGGTGAAGATATGCAAAGACTCGTCAAGCTTGAGAGAGGATCTTAGATAAATGGTGATCTCTGTGGTTCGACAAGGACTATGCTGAACTTCTATAATCAAAAGAAAGAAGATTGCCAAATATAAAATTATCTTAAAGTTATCCATGGACCCTTTGTGTTTATCATCAGTCCCTTATCCAAAAGCCCGCCACCAGAACCTTGTCCTTATCCACTGTCGACATATCAAGTTACAAAGGGCACAAACCAGTAATGAAGTCCCCATTTGTTTTCACCAGTACGATAGAGGAATTATAAATTTTTCATTGCAATTCTTAATCCTCAGTATCTGAACAAGGGATAGCAGCAAGAAACAACCACAAGACAAAACAAATTGGGAAAAACACCTTTATTTTCCCTCTTCATAAAGCCCCTTATCAAATTTAAACCAATGACTTGTGCCTTACCAGGGAGTTACTCTACTGGTCATATAAGAAAAGTATGGAGAGAAAAAGAAAAAAGTAAAGAATCGGAATATATTAATATATGTATTGACATCTACTGAGTTAAAAGGGCTTATTTGATTTAATTCCCGAATTGTGACAAAGATGGATAAATAAAAGAATAATGAAGCAAGCCAAAAGTACCAAAGACACAAAACTTACATAGTTCAGTAATATGCTTATAACATTTACAGCACAACCATTGCGTCTTATCTCCACATTTCATTCTCTCTTTTCTTTTAGTTGACTGCTTTTCTGCTGTAATTTTTATTCTTAAGCTTCTCCATTTCATACCTTTCTCTCTTCTTTTGTTTTCTATGAGGGATTGCACATTTTAATATACTGCAAACAATGTGAGCTTCTTTTGTTTTCTATGAGGGACTTCACATTTATGTTCTTCTCCAACAGAAGAAAGAATCTGTTGATTTTTCCAATTAGACTTCAAGCTCCTAGATTTTCTAAACCTTACTTCCAACTTCCAAGTCACGAGATAAGAGTCCTTTCTACTATCTTTCTTCCACTAATCATCTATCTACTTCTCTCACTTTAAACATGATCTTCCAAACTCTTGTAAAATGCATTACACCGAAAAATAATAAGTGAATACAACGAATAACATGAGATCGATCAACTAGAAAAAACATTCACCAGCATTGTTCATCATCAAGAATTCACACAACCACTGGTGCACCAATATTTCAATAACGATTCTCGACCAGTTTTTGACATCGGCAATCAACTATAATATACAAAAAAATTAAAAAATTTTAAAAATTAAAAAATTATTCAATTGAATTCCACAGGGAGTTTCAAAAGTATCTCTTGCTAGTATTTATAGGTGGTCCATTAACATTGTAACATTAGCCTTTTTTTTATGTGGTCTAGTGAAGTAGCAAGCAATCCAACTTCAGATCCGTGAACCCGGCTATGAAAAAATAATAATAATAATAATAATAATAATAAATCAATCAATACTTTGGACAACATTAGAGTTGGACAAAGAAATCTTCTTGAATTCAGAAATAAGTGTAATGCTGGTTAACTAATATACTAAGAAGACAGCATTATGCATCTGGTTCTGCAGTAAGGTCCCCTCAAGCCCTCTCTAATTCTCCCTTTCTTCTAACTTGGAAAGTACCCAGAGATACTGCCAAGTAACAGGTGTTATGAATCGATCAATGAAGTTCATTTTTCAAAAGCATTATCAGAAAAAGAAATCTTCTGATTAATGCAAATATAAATCAGGGATAGGATGTTCATTCACAATTTTAACAGAGAATTTAAAGAAATGAACAACTCGTTAGATCATTTCAAGAAAATATAACCAAACAATATTAAAGCTCAAAAATTGGAAAATTCAAGAAAGGCCAGAAGAAAAAGTACCGATTGATAACAAGAACTCCCAAGCAAAAGCTAGCAATGCATAAGAAAGAGACCCATCTTGTAGGGACACCAACACTGCCACCAATGCCCGCCTTGTGCGGCGGTCTACTCCCCATCATCAACCCCATTTTTCCGATCAACGCCACCCCACCACCGCCAGCACCGGAGAAAAAGTAAAGCTTTTTAAGCTTGGTTTGAACCTAATGGCTAAATAATCTTTTAAAACTTTAAAGTAGTACTATGAAAAGACATAAAAAGCCTATTGACTCCATTGCTTGCTTAACAAAAGTGAAAGACAGACAGAAGTTGTCAATGCTGCTGTAGCTGTACTAAGAAACGGAAGCTAAAATGGAAAATTGAAAGAGAATCAAACAAATATCAGAATATGTCAGGGGTAAGGACCATGTTGTAAATATTTTGGGATTTTGTCCTAGAAATTCATAAATTATACAAAAGACAAAAGTCCCAACAGCTTTCTCAGCATGAAGAAATGAATTCATTGGTAATGTTGTTATGGACAATTGGTGGATGGGCATAAGATTTCTCTATCTTAAACTATACGTAACGTGCCACGAAATAACGATTATGTCCCTAATTCATAATTAGGAGACATCATTTAGCTTAACTAATGAATGTTATAATTAATATTAAAAAATTTGGGGTTTTTGCTTCATCAAGAAGGTGAACAATCTATTTAATTATATTAAATTTGAAAATACAAGTTTTAATAGTGAATTTTTAAAAAATGTGTAATTAAAAAGTAGTAAAATATTTTATATTTATCTGAAAAATATTTAATTGATATGTGTGACTTTTAAATAGTGAAATAAATAAGCAAATGAAAAGGCTAAGAAAACAGTAGCCCAAGTTCCAACTCCACCGTATTGAAGGCAATAATATTATCATGGGCCTGCCTTCGGGGCATAGCACAGTGGTGCAAAGGACAGGAGTAAGGTTATCTCACGTCTTGCTGGCAACCGCAATGTGGGAGTTTGATTCTTAAGACATGAAATTTGATTTTTTGTACGCGCAGTGTACAGACGGCTCTTGTTCCTTGATCTGTTGAGACACATTCCGCGATTTACTTTCCTCACAAAACTCTAGAGACGGGATGGTGGGAGCCCTTAAGGTTGGGGTTCAACCTTTTTTTTAATTATCATGGGCCATACTCAAATCTCCATAGTAGGGTATTAGACAATTATAATTATCTTTAAATTAAAATGATAATATTTTGAATTTGTAAAGTAGATAAGAAATGGTTACTGGAGACCAATTTGCTACACGCTAGAAATTTGAAGACAACTATAGTCCGACTTGTAAAAATGGTAAGGGGTGGGGACCTCCAATGTTATTTTTTCTTTTCTTTTCTTTTCTTTTTTTTCTTAAACCTTAAACTATAAATAATCAACGCATGTTTGAAGTGGATTTTGAGCCATTTTTCTTTACATTCATTTTTAATAACACATTTAAAAATAAAAATAATAATAATAAATAAATAAATTCGCATTCATGAATAACTTATTCCAACTTTTAACACAAACTCTATAAAAAAAATTAAAAAAAAAAATCACTTTTTTCAAAATCATTTCTCAAAAAATCAACTTCAAACAAGGATTTAATGTTTTCAGACCCATTTTCAACGTTTGTTTGGCATAACTTATATGAAAATTATTTTTACTCAAATACATTTACGATCATACATTCTTCCAGTAAAAATAATTTTGCACGTGAATTCATAATTCTTTTTTCTTTTTTTCAAATCAAGTTCTCACAAATCATTATTATTTATTTCAAATCATATCTTCCATCAAACTCTTGACCAAATGTGGAAAGTCTTGACCGTTTGGAGAATGTTATCATAAATTTTGAAACGATATTAAGCCCTTGTTTAGTGAAGAAGTGATAAATTCTCAAAGGAAATAATAAAAACAAAAATCCTGAATTAGCAGGGATAAAATAGGCGTAAAGAATTTAATAATTGAGAATGAGTTAAATATGGACGATGATTTGTGTGTATTTCTATCGTGATTTCATCTACTCGATCTTGTAGAATTAGTTGGTAAAAGACACCTTCACAATTTAGCTATTAGCTATGTTAATTATCGCGGAGAATTATATTATTAGATGTATTGTATCACTTGAGCCGATGATTCTGAATTCAAAAGAATTAAGCTCTTATGTCCTCCTATAAACAAAGTATCATCTAACTTCCTTACATTGACACCACCTGTAAAATAGAATCCTTTGCAGATTTGGGCATATGAAGTCACGCCATCAATCGGGGCAGAGATATGTCGACACCGACCTCTTGAGGATATGTCGATGGAATTCTTTTTTATACCTGACTCCAATTAATAATTGAGTTAGATGAACCATAAATGAGTATATTTTAAATGTAGATTATATTATGTACTTTTTAAAAATTAAGTGTACATTTTTGTTTTTGTGCAAATTGTTGTTCATTGCTCACTCAAGGATATGAAGGAAGAGATTTTTAACCATGTTGATTTTGTTTAAGATGCTAATTTTATCTAGACGATAGTAATTTTTTGTGATTTAGTTGAGAAAAATGTGTATGGATGCTGATTTTGTATAGTTGGTAGTGATATTTACGATTTGATTGGAGAACAGGCATATAGATGCTGACCGTTGTTGCTATAAACTTTTGCAATGTTTTTTATTGTAAGTATGCTTTTACAAACACTGAAGCAGTTTAATTGGAACAAGAGCATGCAATTTTTTATGACAACAGTCTTGAAAGTACAAATTGTATTAACTAATTTTGTAGGTTCATCCAGCTCGAAAAAAGACAGTTGCACATTTAAAACAACTACGTGCTATTTTCAATCAAGAGATCTCAATTTCACTCTGGAACTAATTTAGAACATCATAGATGACTTGTGCATGTTGAACGTGTAAATATGAGGCGATCACATGCCATTTTGGATCATGATTTCGATTTTAGTCTGTAACTAGTTTGGAACATTATGGATGGCTTGTACATGTTGAACGAGTAATAATAAAATGAAATGAACATGAAATTAATAAAAATGATACCCATATGTATAAAACGTTCACATGCCATTTTGGATCACAAGTTCTCAATTTCATTTCAAAACTAGTAAAAATAAAGTTTAGATCATCGTGGATGAGTTTAACATGTTGAACGATTGCACATGCTATGTTTGTATATCATACTTGTTAGTTAGATTTTTTTTTTTTTTTTTTTAAATCAAGTGTAGCATAGTTTTCAATCAGATGTATGATATTACACACTATAATTTGAATTTTATGTGGATCATGACATCTAAGTATAGTTAAAACTTTCGTTCTTACACTTTAAATGGATACGAGCGAGAATGAAGTTAAACGGACACGAAATTAATAGAAATGAACGCCTATATGCTTTAAACTACCACATGCCATTTTGGATCACGTGTTCTCAATTTCATTCCGAAACTAGTGAAAACAATATTTGGAACTTCATAAATGAGTTGTACATGCAATATTTTATATACCATACTTGTCACTTACGTTGTCATTTGTTGTCAAGTGTAATGTAATTTCAAATCGAATGTATGGTGTGACTCGCTATAGTTTGAACTTTTTGTGGATTGTGACGTCCAAATGTAGTTTCATTATTACATTTTCAAGTGGATACAAATGATAATGAAATGAAAACGAAAACGAAATTAGTAGAATTTACACCCTTACGTTTAAAATGATCAAGTACCATTTTGAATTTTGGGTTTTGATTTTATTTCGAAACTAGTAAAGCAATGTTTGAAATATCATAGATAAGCTATACACGTTGAATGAATATATGTTCTATGTTTTATATACCATACTTGTTATTTATGTTTTCCTTTGTTGTTAAGTATAGCGCAGTCCAACCGAATGTATGGTGTGTCTCTATATAGTTTGAACTTTGCATAGACCGTGGTATTCAAATGTAGTTAAAACTTTCAATCGTAAACTCTCAAGTAGATACGAGCGAGAATGAAGCGACATGAATGCGAAATTAGTGGAAATGTACTCATACGTTTAGAACAACCACGTGATGTTTTGGATCACGGGGTCTCGATTTCACTCTGAAACTAGTAAAAAAATATTTGGAAAATCGTAGATGAGTTGTACATGTTGAACGAATGCACGTGCTATGTTTTGTATACCACACTTATTACTTGCATTTTCATTTGTTGTGAATTGTAGTTTTGTTTCCAACATGATGTATGGTGTGACTCCCTATAGTTTCAACTTTTTGTGTCCTGTGGTTTCCAAAATGGTTAAACGTTCATTCTTACACTTTCTAGTAGACATAGAGGAGAATGAAGTGACACGAACACAAAATTAGCGAAAACGACACATGTATATTTAAAACGACCATATAATATTTTGGGTGACAGGGTCTCGATTTTATTCAAAAAATAGTAAAAAAATAATTGAAAAATAATTGATAAGCTGTACATATTGAACGAATACGCGTGTTATATTGTATATATTGTACATACCTTTTCCTTTACTGTCAGGGGTAGTGTTGTTTCCTACTGGATATATGGTGTGATTCACTATAGTTTGAAATTTGTGGGGATCATGAAATTCAAAATTTGTGAAAACTTTAATTCTTACACTTTCAAATGAATATGAAAAAAAAATGAAGCGAAACGAACACAAAATAAGTAGAAACAATACCTATATGTTTAAAAAGATCACGTGCCATTTTGGGTCACACGATCTTGATTTCACTCCAAAACTAGTAAAATAATGTTTGAAGTATTATAGATGAGTTGTACACGTTTAATGACTGCATGTGCTATATTTTGTGTACTCTAAACCCTAAATGACACCCATGCATTTAAAACGGTCATTTGTCGTTTTGGTTTGAACAAACATATCTATCAAAAATTATTAATAAAAAATTATCACAATTTAATGATTAAATTTAACAATTACATCAATATATCCATCAAAACCATCTATTCATCCATAACAATTTATCAGAACCATCACAATTTCAAAATTAAGTTCAATAAAAACAAGTCTCATCAATATGTCAACCAATGTAGGTCATTTTTGCAAGTAAAGAGGTTATGGCCCCTTTGGCTACACCTACTATATTTTTAAGTCTTTTTTTGCTCATTTCTTTTTAATGAATTCGACATTTTTTGGATGTCCACTTTAACCGCTTTTAGGACTTCATCATAAAACTCCACATATGAAATATTTATTATGGTGTCTTGATTATTTCCTATCCATTTTCACATTCATCCACTTTTGTCTCTCTTTACAAATTCAACGAAATAACAAACGATAATCATTGTACCATAGTTAATAGCTGCAATTCAACAAAATTATATAATATGTTAGTTCATTAATTATCAAAAGTAAATATTATAAAATACAAATTCAATAATAAACAAAAGGCAACCCATATTATTATAGAACAAATTT